CAGTGAACTTTTTACTGTAACAAAATATTTTCATAGTGTCGTGCCAGGTTGAACGTGACTGTTCCATACAAAAGACAAAAATATTTTCGATATTGAAAAAAAATAATATATAAATATTAAATACGTATAATATTACTAGATAACATAAAAACTATGATACCTGCATTTTCACATATATGTTTCGTAGTCCTAATAAGTACTTTTTTGGCAATTAGACAATTTTGCTCATTATTTAGATAAAGTTTATCCAAAGGGAAAAATAATAACTAATARTATAATAATAATGTACCAAAATGGACAAAGTTTGAGAAACACTGGTCTAACAAAACACTAAAATCAATTAATTACTTGTTAGTCTGATCTAYATTGAGTTTGTAGTGATTTACCAAATTTTATTTTATTAAAATAATATTGTAAAGATTTAGAGTTAGGAAGAAGGAGGGTGACAAGTCGTATGGACCCAGGGCACCAAAATCCTAAATATGTTTCTCATTTTATTTAACTTAACCACTTAAATAAAACATTAATTATGAAATGAAATCAGACAAGTATATACCTACTGTTTCCTACACTATTTTTAATTACAAAAAAATAAATGGACTATGGAGCTATGCTTTAATTTCAGATATTTATAAGCGCACTAACTATTAATTGATTTCCACAGAGTATATTTTAAATTAATTTAACATACGAGTGATAAAAGTGAATGATTTTTTGTTTGAAACGAAACATTTACATAAAACATTTTATTAGTGAAACGCTCATTAGCAGTTGAGTACGTAATAGCGAGCACTCTAATATTATTTTCTTTTTTTCATGATAATCACTTGTACTTACAAAGAATTTGGCGATGCGAAACGTTTTTAAATTTCAAACGACATCAAATATCGAGAGTATATAACGACGAGATGAGTTCATTCACCAGACAGACGTTTTTCAATAAAAATTAATATAATATCAATCATGTGGTTCATCATAACCATCATTATCATTACGAGTACCATATTATAATAATACTCTRTATTATAACCCCATATAATCGGAAACGAGAAGGGGCATAAGCATGCGAATACTGGGTGGGAGCGGRTTGCATGTTAATAAATCACGAGGCAATACTGAATACATGGTATAACTGTCGGGTACACGCTATTAGTCAAACAGTTACACCCTTTTATAGTAAGTAGGTATTGTTATCGTTGTATTC